GAAACTATACCACATGAACTACAGAGAAAGTGCACTCATTGTGGAATTTGTCAATAAAAAAAAAGGTTTTTGAACCCGCACCAACCAAATATTAATTCAAAATCAAATGTGTGTCGAGTCTCATATGTTTCCAGCACAGGTCAACTGTTACAGGGAATTTTTTTCTTTTTCTTTTTTTTTTTTTTTTTTTTTTTTTTTTGGTTTTTCGAGACAGGTTTCTCTGTGTAGCTTTGCACCTTTCCTGGAACTCACTTAGTAGCCCAGGCTGCCCTCAAACTCACAGAGATCCGTCTGCCTCTGCCTCCCGAGTGCTGGGATCAAAGGCGTGAGCCACCACCGCCCGGCTGTTACAGGGAATTTTTTTTTAAAGCCTCCTATTAAAGACTGAACCCAGGGCTTCATTCACGCTAGGCGGGCACTCTAGCACTGGGCACACAACAGACACATGTGCCCTGAACGAGCTGCCGTAGCATTAAATGCCCGAGAGTGGCTGCTGTCTTAGTCAGGGTTGCTATTGCTGTGACGAAACACCATGACCAAAAAAGCAGGTTAGGGAAGGGGATTACATTTGCACAGCGTTGTTCACCATAGAAAGAAGTCAGGACAGGAACTCAGAGTAGGATCCCAGAGGCAGGCACTGATGCAGAGGCCATGGAGTGCTGTTACTGGCTTGCTCATCATGGCTTGCTCCGCCTGCTTTCTTATAGAACCCAGAATCACCAGCCCAGAGATGGCACCTCTCACCATGGGCTGGGCCCTCCACCGTTGCTCACTAAAGGAGAAAATGCCACACATCTCATGGAGGCATTTCCCCAACTGGGGTTCCTTCCTCTCTGATGACTCCAGTGTGTGTCAAGGCGACACATGAAATCAGCAGCTGCCTAACCTCGGCTCAGGGTCCAGACTATTATATGTTACTGTGGTGGTTTGAATAACAATCATCCCCATAAGCTCATATATTTGAATGCCTAGTCATCAGGGAATGGCACTAATGGGAAGGATTAAGAAGTGTGGCATTCTTGGAGGAAGTGTGTCACGGGGGGTAGGCTTTGAGGTTCCAAAAGCCCATGCCAGTCCGGGTATTGCTCTCTTCCTGCTGCCTGTGGATCCAGGTGTGGGACTGTCGGCTACT